AGCAGACTCCCCGCTGAGCAGGGAGCCTGACCCGGGGCTCCATCCCAGGACCCTAAGATCATGACCTGAGCCGAAGGCAGACACTTAACTGACTGAGACACCCAGGCGCCCCTTGTTTCATTTTTTTCCATGGTGTCTTTCCAAGTTTTTAATTTTGTGAAATTCAGTGTCTTTTGGTAGATAGACATTCTTAATTTTAACGTGGTCTATGTTACCAGTCTTTTCTGTTATGATTAGTGTTTTATTCTGCCCTGTTTAAGAAATCTTTGCTTATCCCAAGGTTGTGAGGATATTCTACTATGTATTATAGAAAAGATTTGTATTATTTTGTTTTTTACATTTTAATCTTCAGTCTGTTTGGAATTGATTTCTGGGTATGTTGTGAGATAGGATACAAATTCATTTTTCTCATGAATATACAATTGATGCAGCATCTTTTACTGGAAAGACCATCCTTTGTCCACTTCAGTGCAGTGGCATTTTTGTTATAAGTCAGCTGACCATCGTTGTAAGGTCTCTTTCTAGATTGCATTTTCTTTCTCTGGTCTATTTATTTGTGATCCAGTACCAAATTAATTACAGATTTGTAAATCAGCCAGTTTTGTTCTTCTTCATGACTGTTTTGTTGACTATGTGGGCAGTTCACATTTCCATGTAAATTTTAGAACTTTAGAAGCGGGTTGTTGGCTTCTACCCAAAAAGCCTTTTGGAACTTTAGTTAAGATTCATGGACCCATGGGACGCCTGGGTGGCTCAGTCATTAAGCGTCTGCCTTTGGCTCAGGTCATGATCCCAGGGTCCTGGGATCGAGTCCCACATTGGGCTCCCTGCTCAGTGGGAAGCCTGCTTCTCCCTCTCCCACTCCCCCTGCTTATGTTCCCTCTCTCGCTGTGTCTCTCTCTGTCAAATAAATAAATAAAATCTTAAAAAAAAAAATTCATGGACCCTTTACAGCAGTGAAGCTGTCTATGAACATGGTATACCCCTCCATGTATAGGCCTTTACTTTCTCTCAGCAGTGGTCTTCATTCTGCCATGTACAGGTCTTGCACTTCTTTAGTTTGAGATTTATTGGATACTTGATTTTTTTTTAAAGATTTTATTTATTTATTTGAGAGTGAGAGAGAGAGCATGAGAACGGGGAGGGTCAGAGGGAGAAGCAGACTCCCCACTGAGCAGGGAGCCCGATGCAGAACTCGATCCTGGGACTCCAGGATCATGACCTAAGCCGAAGGCAGTTGCTCAACTGACTGAGCCACCCAGGTGCCCTGGATACTTGATTTTTTAATGTGATTATTAATGTTTTTTAAAATTTTCTAAATTTTTCGGGCGCCTGGGTGGCTCAGTTGGTTAAGCGACTGCCTTCGGCTCAGGTCATGATCCTGGAGTCCCTGGATCAAGTCCCGCATCAGGCTTCCTGCTCGGCAGGGAGTCTGCTTCTCCCTCTGACCCTCCTCCCTCTCATGCTCTCTGTCTCTCATTCTCTCTCTCTCAAATAAATAAATAAATAAATAAATCTTTAAAATTTTCTAAATTTTTGTTGCTAATCTACAGATACCCAATTAATTTTTATATATCACCTTGGTGTTCAGCAATTTTGCTAAATTCCCTGTTTTGTTTCTAACAGTATAGATTGTCTTAAGTTTTCTACATACATCGTCATTAACAAGTAGTGATGTTTTAATTTCTTCTCCCATTCTTACACCTTTACTTTTTCCTCGCCACACGAAGTAGTCAGGACCTCTAGTATAGTGTTAACTAGAAGCGGCAATGCAAAGCATTCTTGTCTAATTACTGTTCTCAAGGTGAAAGCATTTAATATCTCACCCCCAACTGCTACGTTTGCTGGGTGAGGAAGAAGTTACAGGGAAAGACTTACTTTCCTGACGCCTGAGCAGAGTTCCCCAGAGAAGGAGTTTGTTCTGTGGGGACTCTGCCACCAGCCCGTTCTCCCATAGACAAGCTGTATGTACCTCCCCTTGCAGAAGAGCCTCACTTGGTTCTCACACTGGGTAGCTCCATCCCTGTTCAGATTAGGTGGTTCTTTCTCGTGTCATTTAGGGAGACACATTATCATCTGTGTCTGTACAGGGTGGGTGTTTCAGCCTTCATTTCTTCTTTCTGCCTCAGTGTTGCCAGCCCTCTCTTCAGGTGGATATTCTCGGATTTTAGGGGTGACACCAAGGCCTCACAGGCTCTGCAGAAACACCGGGTGCCTGGAAGGTTCCACAGGAAAATTAGTTTCTTATGTAGAAAAGCCAGGGCATGTTGCATTTTCCTAGGTGAAACGGGAAGGCTAACATGAATTATATACACATGGCTCAGCAAACGGCATGTGAGATGAGCGCCAGGATCGGATCCGAGACCCCGGTGGAAAGCCTGCCCCCTACCCATCCTCTGATCATGGGTGATGATGGTGAAGCCAGGCATCTGCCCGTCGTGTACACTGATGATGGCTTGGCTGATCAGCTGGTGTTTGGACTGAAGGGCCACAGAGCTGAGAAATGGGACACTTCCCGGTGTGGATGCGGCCCTCTCGTGTTCTTACTTCACGCGGGAAATTCGCAGTGTTCTCCCTTGTTCTGCATTTCCTTTATGGTCCTCACTCAGTGTCGGCTGTGATTTAGTGTTGAAACCTGTTCCTTGTTTTACCATCATGTACTAAAGGCCTTTAGAAGGGAAAGTGTGTAGCGCATACGCAGTTTGGAACTAAATGGAAATCACATTTGAAAGGATTTGTGTTTAGGAATTCATGATTAAGTTTTTATCACATAATGTTAAATCTGATTTTTTTTGTTTGTTTTATTTCTCTTTTTGTTTTACTGAAACATTGTGTAGAGGGGCAGTGACCTGGCTCCTGGCATGTTCCCTGAAGACAGGTATCCCTGGTCTTTCTTACCTAAGCTTAGTGTTCTTATCCACACCGTGGCATTTGAAACTGCTCTGTGAATACAGATTCCGGGAGCATCTTGAAAATCAAGCGTCGGGACTCTGAGATGGGTGGTGAGCAGCCACCGTTGTCTGTGGGAGACGCTGTGTCCGTGCGGCACCTTCGGGCACTGGGCTGCTGTCTGCCTGGAGAACCAGGACAGTGGCAGGACAGCGCCGTGTACGCGCCGGGGGGCGGGGTTCCCCACACGCTCCCGCCTTAGCGCCCTCGGCTCTGGCGGCGCCCTGGCCAGGCGCTGAGTTCCTGTGGGCGGGGCCCTCCTGCCCCTGGGCCCACCTTCGCCCCGAGCTGCACTCGTGGTGTTTGTGTCTGCAGCACACCCACCCCCTCATTTTGCTCCCTGTTTTGAAGAACCGTTGAGGAAGGACGGAAGGAAATCGATTTTGAGGAAAATTAAATTTTCTTCTGAAGCAGAATGATGGCTGTGCCACGGGAGGCAGGGGTCAGGCGGCTGCTGGTGGGGAGCTGTAGCTGTTCTCGCGAGCTCCAGGTCTGTGCCCCTCGCTCTGCCGGCTCTCGGCGGCCCGCGGTGCTCAATATTTTAAAGAGCGGTGTGCCCTGCCCCTGCGCCTGGGGGGTGTGCTGTGCTGTCTGGATTGTGGCCACGTACCACGCTCTGTTGACATTGCCCTCTGTTGCTCAGCTTCAGACAGCAAAGTCCTGACGTGCGCAGCCGTGTGGAGGATGCCGAAGGAGCTGGAGCCGGGCAGCCACGAGTCCCCCGACGATTCATCAAGCACCGCGCACAGCCTGGAGCTGCTCTGTCACCTGGACAACACGGCCCACGGCAGCACAGCCTGGTAGGGCTCTGCATGTTTCAGACGCCATGGCGAGCCTGGAGGCTCGAGCGCGCGTGCACACACTCCTGTTCCTGGGCGCGCGGCTCACACTCGGAGCCCTGCTTTCTTGTGAAAAGATCGTATAGATGGCTGGCTTTCTCTCTCTCTCCCTCTCTCTCTCCCCCACTTCCTTCCTTCCTTCCTTTCCTGTTTCTCAGTCTCAGTTCTTCTCCAGATTAGGTACATCACGGAAACTCTGTTGCCGTGAAGGAGCCTGTGTGCGGGTGTCCTTTCCATCTAAATCTGTGCTGCCAGGTCCCTGCCAGGACGAGGGTGAAGTTGGGTGCTGGAGAGCACTTAAGTGTCCTGTTGCTCTTTAGCTTCGTAAATACACTTCCATTCAGCAATCTTAAGTGTAAATTGATTGATTTCTTACTTTAGGCTGAAGGCTTGTAATTTCTTCTTTTGTAGACTGAGTAAGGATGTGCTGTGTGCACACCGTGTGGTTCCCCGAGCCCTGCACATCTTTATCCTTGCGTGTGTCTCCTCCGCATGTCATGTGTGCCAGGGGATGGAGATGCCACCAGCGCCCATCAGGGCTGCCTGGCCCGTCGCTGCCCACGTGTTGTGGCCGAGGCTTGGCGGCACTCACCTCCATACCCGGTGGGAGCCTCCTCAGAGCACTGAAGCCTCGGCACATTCAAAAGGCTGTGCTTTCTAGAAGGGACTGTGGGAGCATAATGTTGGTATGGGTGTTTATAACAGTAATTATTGTTTTACTTAGTGTAGTAACACTTCCGTGTGTGCACACAAGTGTGCATATGTGAGAAAGAGCTCTAGCCTCTGTATACCCACTTCTGTTTGGGCCAAATATACCAATTAAATAAGTTTAATCCAACACGTATTTATTAAGCACCTGCTGCATGCACCTGCCAGACTCCAGGGATGCCAGTGTGATGGGTCAGGGACCCGGCCTCAAGGAGTCATGCGTGATCTCCCAGGGGAGACCCCCAGGGTAAAGATCTGAGTGACACCGGGCAGGCTGTGGCATGCACTGCGATCATTAGGAACTCCGTGCCATGGGCCCCCCGCGGAAAGAGTTATTCATTTTTACCAGTGGAATCGAAGAGGGATTTGCTTAGGAACGACGTGTGGAGCTGGGACCAATGCAGTTTCCGTGGCAGCAGCGGGTCTTGGAGCGGCAAAGGGAGCAGAGCTGTGGGTCGGCACCATCTGTGGCCCTGGAAGGCCTTTGTGCGCTCGTTTGCGGGCGGTGTGTTTTCATGGGTGCCAGGCTGCTGTTCTCCACACGGAGGTGTCAGACCCTGTCTGCAGGAAAAGGAGACGCACAGCAGCCCTGCATCTCATGAGGGGTTGCGAGAGTGCAGAGCGAGCCTGGAACGTGTGCAGACAGACGCACACGTGTGCACATGAGTGCAGTATGTACGTGAGTGCCAGGAGATAGACTGGCACGGGGGGAGCAGGGAAGACACAGTGCAGACCAGCAGCAACTTTGGGGAGGTCAGATGGCATCAGTGACTTTGGTGAGTGCACAGATGGGCTGAGCTCAGAGGAGCAGCGGAGGGGCTGCTGGTCCACTTCCCCAACTCCCACCTGGGTTCAGATACTCCATCCAGTGTTCCATCAGAGGAGTGGTCACCTCTGTCTACATGTGCTTGTCAGAAAATGAATGTCCTTGAAATGTTCAGTCTGGGTCACACCCCCATGATCACAATCCTATCATCACAACCCGGTGATCACACCCCCGTAATCCTGTTCTTATCATCACACACTCAGTGATCACACCCCAGTGATCACACCCATGATCGCACCCCTGTGATCACAATCCTATCATCACACCCCCAGTGATCACACACTCGGTGATCACACCCATGATTGCACCCCCATGATCATATTCCTGTCCTTACACCTCCGGTGATCAGACACTTGGTGATCACACCCATGAGCATATTCCTATCATCACTTCCTCGGTGATCACACCTCCGGAATCATATTCCTATCATCACACCCCCAGTAATCATACATTTGGTGATCACACACCAGTGATCATAACCCTAGTGACCACATGCTCCGTGATCACACCCATGATCACTCCCCCATAATCATATTCCTATCGTCACACCCCTGGTGATCACACGCTCTGTGATTGCACCACTGTGATTGATTGCACGCACAGGGTCACGCCACTGATCATATTCCTATCATCATACCTCCAGGACTCACACCACTGGTGATCACACCCCCTGTGATTGCACCCCCCGTGATCGCAGCCCCCCATGATCACACCCCCGTGATCACACCGCCATGATTGCACCCCCTTGATCTCACCCCTTTGATTGCATCCCCTGATCACACCGCCGTGATCATACCCCCGTGATTGCACTCCCCTGATCTCACCCCCATGATCGGATCCCTCCCTGCGATCACACCCCCGTGATTGCACCCCCATGATCACACCCCCATGATCGTACCCCCCGTATCATATCCCTGTGATAGCACCCCTGTGATCACACCCCAGTGATCACACTCCTGTCATTGCACCCCCATGATCATACTCCATGATCACAACCCCATGATTGCACTCCCCCATGATCACACTCCTGTGATCACATCCCTGTGATCTCACCCTCCCATGATCGCACCCCCTCAGTGATCACACCCCTGTGATCACACCCCTGTGATCAAGCCCCGCGGTCACACCTCCGTGATTGCACCCCTGTGATCACATTCCTTTAATCACACTCCACGATCACACCCCCTGTAATTACACCCCTATTTATGAAAGGGGAACTTCTTAGGAAGCAATTGTTGATACATAAACGCATCCAGAGAAATGGTCTTCCTCAAATTCACGTTGGAAGGCTGCCCTCTTCTGAATTTGCTGCCATTGTTCCAAGCATTTCTTGAATTCCTTTTGTTATCACTTATGTCACTATATGTGTTTGTTGACCTTTTCGCCTTGAAGTGGCTGTGATCCACCTGCAGCTATAGGAACAATACAGACAGATCCCATGTGCTCGTCCCCCCATCTCCCCTGGTGGTGACATTGCATAATCCCTCTGCACAGTCACCACGGGGGATGGGGTGTTGATAGGACCCACCGCGTGTGCACACTGCGTTCTCTGCCATGTCATCACGTGTGTCTCTTGAGGTGCAGCCGGCACTGTAGTCAACATACAGAACTGGGAGCCCTTCTGCTGCCTGTTTATGGCCTTAGCCCGCTGCTCCCCATGCGCCATCCTTAATCCCCGGCAAGCACCAGCCTGTGCTCCTTCTGTAGATTTGTCATTTTGAGAAGGTTCTATGAATGGAATCGTCCACTCTGGAAGCTTTTTGATCGTGGCTTTGTGCACGCACTGTGATTCCCTGGGGGGTCCTTCCTGTTGTCATCTGTGTCTGTCAGTGGCTCCGCCCCTTTATTCTGAGTGGTAGTTCGTGGGACCGTGGTTTCTGTGACCATTCACCTATGGACAGCTGGGTTTCCACCGGGATTTGGACATCCTGATAAAGCTGCTCTGAACAGGAATGGACAGGTGCTCACGTGAACATAGGTTTTCATCTCTCGCAGCCGAATGCCCTTGAGTGCAGTTCATGGGGTACCTGTAGGTGAGTGTTTTGTACAAACTGCTGGAGCAACATGTGAGGCCCAGTCTCTGCATCCTCGCTGGCCTTTGGGGTTGTCATGCATGGTTTTTTTAAGTGTCTTTTTTTTTTTTTTTAAGATTTTATTTATTTATTTGACACCGAGCATGGAGCCTAACGCAGGACTTGATCCCAGGACCCCGGGATCATGACCTGAGCCGAAGGCAGACACTCAATGACTGAGCCACCCAGGCGCCCCCTTTAGTGATGTCTTATTATCTGATAGGGAATTTGGCTTTTGGAAATTTAAGTCTGGTGAATACATGAATGTGAAGGTGCTGTTTGGGGTCAAACATGAGGCAACTGGTAGTTTTGTTTGCTTGCTTTCCTTTTTGGTTTATTTATTTATT